AATCCGCGCATGCGTGTTTGGACCCATGCTTTGAATCAGAGGGACAGTTGGGCTTGTCACGGAGGGGATGCATGGATGGATTTTCTCGTGTTTAAAGGAAGTTTGCCTTCCTGTTTTAGATTTCTGATAATAGTGTATGTGGTTATATTAATCAAAAAGAAATTAGCAATGTTTACATAATCATAGGGAGTAATATATATTCTCGAACAAAACATATATAATAAAATCTACTTATTCAGTAAATCGTAGGATTTACTTAATATTTTGATAAATGCAAGGTTCCTGTCTATAAAATAATAAATAAACTTTACTTAATTACTTTAAATAAACACAACTTTTAAATTAAATATAATTAAGTCATATTAAGTTACTTAATTAGAGTGTAATTAGATTTAATTTCTTCATGAATGTTAAGTTTAGTAGTAAGTAGATTTTACTTAATAATAGCGAGCAAGTTGTACTTGATATTAGAGCAGTAAAATTTACTTAAAATGTGTTCATGCAATTTGTTACGATAATTTTTTAAAGTAAATCTTACAAGTTATTTTTTTCAGTGTGCTCTCAGTTACATAGATGCATATTGTAAAGTGAGTGTGGTGGTGCTTATGGGGTGTCGCTGTGGGACGGTGAGTATGAGGCTGGGGCCTGGGAGGGAATATCAGAGTATACCCACTACAAAAAACTAGACTACACCACTGGATGAAATCAAACAGAACCTAACTCCCTGATCAGTAATATTATTGAAACCTCTTCATGACAGAAGATATAACTTAATTGTATTCCTGCGGTATGGTTGCAGTTATTATTGACATTATATTTAATAGCAAGATCTTTAATTTAATGTGTAGTGAAATAATGGCTCACAACAGAGGATATTCCATGAAATGGAGGTGGCCTTCTGAGTACATATAATCAATATACCTATTCCTCAAAGTTCAGATAAATGTTTGCTCAATAGTGGCTTCAAACAGGTTTTTAAAACTCTTTGTTTGTGAACCTGTTAATGTACACCACAAAAGTGCACACTGTAACAGTGATGTAACATAAACAACTTTTACTTGCAAAATACACTAGAAAGAGCAGGCAACAAACAAATATGAGAGTTTTATGTAGTTATATTACATTTCTCCAAGATTACAATTAATAAATTGAGCTGAAATAAGTTCTAGCATATATAGTGTGTGTGTGTGTGTGTGTATAGCTGCCACTGGTCTAGAATAAAAATAGCTAATATTACAATACACAAATCTTTTAATTCACTTCTGTGAAACAATGGACAATGTGAAGGCAAATTTTCTTCATGTGGTTGAAAGTAAGTCCCCGTTTAATATTTCAGAAGGGATGAAAGGGAGTTGAAATAATAAATAACATTCGGTATATCAAGGCTTTAGCTCTTCTGTGAAAGATTTAAGAGTCCACCTTGAGTACATTTTCCCCAGTGTTTTTTTTTTTTGGCCTTTTCCCATTTTTTAGTTACAGTATCTGGAAATAATGTGAAGAAGAGAGGAAACAGGATCTGGAAACGCCATGAGCTAGATTCAGCGGTCCCCAGGTCTTTAAAGTGAAGACATTTTATGGAAAAACTCATCCTTTTTGTTGTTGTGCTCCGTGACCTTTGTTTGTTCGTTAAACTCCTCAGACTCAGATTCATCCTCAAGCTCAGGCAGATGCCACTGAATGAAGACCAGATAAATGATGGACCCCAGCACGCCCCCCACCATAGGAGCCACTAATGGAATCCAGAAGAAGTAATCATAACACCTGTGTGGGTAAAAAAACGGCATTTAAAACTGACTGTGTTGAGAGAAGTGAAGCTCTGGTTACACACTTCAGTGAAAATACCAATGTGGCAACGTGCTGAGATCATTAATAGAACACCGGAGCTAAGCAAAGTGATATAACCAGTAATTAATTTTATCGGTGGAAATACAAGTTGAAAGGTAGGAGGCAAATGTGCAGAGATAACGAGGCTTTGTTAATCTGACATTAATAGATGTAGTAGACCGATTTGATTACGTACGTGAAGACTTCGATGCCCCAGCCTGCTGTGAAGGTGAAGAGTCGTGGACCAAGGTCACGGGCAGGGTTTATGGCAGCTCCACAGTTAGCCGACATTGACATGGAAATCCCTAGGACAACAGTTGCTACAATTGGAGGGAGCAGTGCTTCAGGAGCAGGAGCATTTCTCTTATCATTCAGAGGTAGAATGCACAACATTAGCATGGCTGTGCCGACCACCTGCACACAGACATACAGGAGACAGGTGACTGCCTTTTTTATTTCTGGCATGATCTGATCTCTATATTAGATAATTGATTAATGTTTGAAAATCTTTTTAATGCTGTATAATATTATATTGCTTTAGAGCAATTTGTATCAGATCAGATTAAATTACACAATTTTATATCAGTAGTAATTCTACTGTGCTTGCATGAACTACAGAGCTCTTGTCTAATCCAGGGGTTTTCAACCTGTGGGGCGCGCCCCCCGAGGGGCGCCAGTCAAGGGGGGTGCGAGCATCAGTTAATTCATGTTGGATGTTGTTGGATGTTGGGGGGGCACGAGTGAAATTAGACCAACTTGGCGGGGCGCATGTCCTAAAAGGTTGAAAACCCCTGGTCTAATCTACCGTGGCCTTTTGCTGACCTGATCGAGGAAGCTGGTCTGCATTGACACCACATCAGTTGGGTAAGTGGCAAAGATACTGGCTGTTTCATTAGGACCAAATACGGTCAGAACTCCACCACTGAACTCCATAATCGCATCTGGAGGAGAGTTGAGAAATCAATCCTCTTTTCTTTTTTTTTTTAAACATAAAACTGCAATTATAGAATGTGAAATTATTGCAAAAATACAGGATGCATCTTTAAAAAAAGGATTTCTAATTTTTCTCTTTTTTATCTTACCATGGTAGATGAGATAGACAAGCCCAGAGGCGAGGTAAGCCCCCAGTATTTGAGCCAGAGAATAGGGTAGCAGTTTTATCCAGGCTAGGTCTCCCAAGACACAGAAACTCAGAGATACAGCTGGGTTTAGATGAGCTCCTAAGGGGGAAATAAAGAAGAAAAAAATATTAAGAGAGAAGTCAGTGTTGTCGATCCAAAAAAAAAAAAAAAAGATTAATATTAGAAAGGATTTTGCCTTAAATGCCCCAAAACAGCCCAAGCTATTAGCAATTTACCTGATACTGCCCTGCTGAGGTACATGGCAGACATGACGCCTACAGAGAAAGCCATGTTAACAGACAGAAACTGCCCCTTAGTTTCTCTGCTGGTTTTCACCTGAGCTGCTGCAGCACAACCAAACAGCTACAGCAGAAAAAATTATAACATTATTTTGTTATATCTAGTTGTGTATAAACTTATTTTACAATAATGTTTGGTGTCATGCAAAGCTTGATGCTTTGACTTTTTTTGAACCATTTTTATTGGAGGACAAATATACAAATTAACTGGACAGATTTTGTCAGAAACACAAGTTACTTAATAATAAACTCTTTTTTTTTTTAACTGTTGAATTAAAAATATCACCATTACAATCATGCTCTTGGTCTCCAATGAGTGCAGTTACCTGCAGCTGTATTGCAGCTGTGGTAATATTCAGTAATGTGGTAACATTATTATGTGATATTTCTGTTGGAACTGGCCCTGATAGTACTCTAAATATGTACCCTGCACTGGATTATTTATTATATTATGGATGGTGATATTTCAGGTAAAAACCTTCTGCAGCGACAAACACATTGTCAGCATATATAACCAAAAGCACATGCTCAAAGTACTTTAGGTTAACAGAACATTGGATTTGTCCATTGTAAAAGCTTATCTTATGGTGTAACATATATGATAACATTTTAGACATAAGCCACTCTAAATTGCATGTTTTGCATCTTATGCATGAACATATCACTGATATTGCTGTTATATTTCCCAGTAACCTTTCCTTTTGTAAGAGTATTAAATAATAAATTCAATTAATAAATTAAATCTCTGAATAATAAATTCAGAGATTAAATTATATATTAATATTAGCCCATATTCAGAGAATCAAGGAAATGTTGCAAAAACAGTATGTAGAAAACCATCAAAATATATAAATATCTCGGTTTTGTGTAACATTGATGTGTTTTTTGAGGGATGCTTTATTAGTTAATGCATTCGTTATCGTTAACTTACAATGAGCTATACTTATACAGCATTTATGAATATAGGTTCATGTTCATTTTTACATATAATATTACATCTTTAAATTATAAAATAACATTAGTTAACATAAGTTGCACAAGCATGAATTAGCATTGAAAAATAGTATGTGAGAACAACAATAAAACTCTATAAATCAATAACTATGCTCAAAGTTTGATTAATAGTGAATATGCAAAAACTTACCAGAAGTACAAAGGTGCCTAAGACCTCTCCCATAATCTGTCGCACCAGTTCATTTTTCACCTTCATCCTCTTAATTATCTTTTTTACCCGACTCATTTTGTGTTGTCTTTTAGGTTTTGTGCAAAACCTGCTGCCCCGCTCTTCAGAGATGATCTTCTGAACTTAGTCTGTGTCTATTAGCTCAGCTAACCTTTAAACCCTCTTTTAAATACACTTGTAGGGTACAAACATCCCACATTAAGCGGTCAACACCCACATCATAGCTTGTCTGATCCAGACTACGACCCCTTAATAAATCATTAATAGTCATGTAGGACAAAGAGAAAGAGAGGAGAGCAAGAGAAAGAATTTGTGATCTATGATCCGCTGCTGTAAAACACTTATCGTGCTTTTCCGTATAATCTAATCATTTTGAGACTGGAAGATTAGATGACATAGAAATGAGGTAATTGTGCAATTATCTAGCTCAAATATCTGTACACCCAAATTTCTTTCCCAAAGCCACCGTTCATGTTTAAAATTATGTTTAATGTTACCATTGGCACTGATATTGCTGTTTCAACCAAGCAATAATTGAAACAGTATATTCTTACAGGATGAGTAAAATTAACTTAACTGTTCTCTGCTTGGTTTGAATGAAAGATTGGTTTAGAAAAAGATCGTTTTAGCCTAAGGGTTGAGGCTCTGGACTGATTTTGCAAAATACAAAGATTTATCAGAACAATTTGTTTCTTTTTCTTTTCTTTTCTTTTCTTTATTTATGTATTTAAAAGGCATGAAAGGGCAGTAGGGATGGAACCTGTGAGCTGGGGCAGTATTGAAAGATCTCTGTAAGCAAAGCAATTCATTTTCATAAAAAATTAGTTTTCTGTAAAAGATGCATCTTCTGATTGACAATTAAAATGTCTTAATATATTTTCCGTTACTGTTATTTAAACAAAAAAAACAGACAAAAATTATGTAAATGTTATAAATATCCCATATGAAGGAAATGTAGTTGCTTACTTTGTCTTTAATATGAAAAAAGTTTAATTGGGACGGATTTGTGCTGTACAGACAACATATACACGTATACATAGTAGCATTAAAAAAAAAAAATGTAATGGCTTCTGATAAAGACTGATAGTGCAATATTACATTAATAGTTACATAATGTGAGAGCTTAAACATTATTTAAAATAAGTGATATAAAAAATGACCTCCTGGCCTCCAGTGCTTTTATGCCCTTAATTTTGGCATTATTAAATTATAGTTATCTAATATCAGTGAAGAAAAAAAATAAACACTTCAAAACACTATGATGAATGATTGTTATGATGATGATAATTGCAGAACTGAACATTTGCAAGAATATAACTTCATAGAACCTGTAACAGCAAAAATCCTGATAGAAAAAAACAGTGTTTAAATTATGACTGGATTTCTTTGAGAATTGAGGTGCAAGAAGGAAAGTAGAGGTCTTCAACGTGTCTGCTGAGGACGGTGTAGTAAGACCTCCACTGGGCCAGGGGGCAGTTTCTTGATGAGGTTCCATGCCTCAAGACGCATCATACCCACCAAACTTTGACCTTGCACCCCCAACAACTCATCCCCAGGAAACACTTCATTGACTGGCCCACCTGGAAACAAGTAGTACACTTAATTGTTATTGAGGGACTTGGGATGAGACTCAGCACAAGCTAAAGGGATGCCAATAGCAAGAAGGTGTGAGGTAAGCATGCCCTTACTTTTGCAATGGTGGGATCATGAACATTTATCTTTTCACAGACTTCTTGAATAATTGTGTTGAATGGGATTGCTTCAAATCGGGAAAAACTGGTCTTACCACGGAATATTTTTTGTACAGTGAGAGGTTTGTCTCCCGAGCTGGATCCCACCCCTCCTTCCAGACTGAAGCCAAGATCAGAGCTGGACTTGATCAGAATAACACGGACTCTGCTGCCTGTAGGGGGCATACACAGACAAAATATCAGCATCAGATTCCACAAGACACTCTGCTTTTTTTTTTTTACAAGTTTTTATCTCACCTGTCTACAAGGTAAGGCAATCAGTATTATTATCAAATAATTAAAAACCTTCCCTCAATGTTGATTGATTTCCAGATGCTCTCACATTCATAATGACCACCACATGCAAAACTGTTTTCCTTCAGATCACCTACTCTTTGATATCTGTCCACCACTCACCTGTGATTCCTGATCTTTCAGTGACCTCCTTTCTGCTGTTACCGCTCTGAAGAACAACCACCGCCATGCCCTGCCCCCTCGCTTTTCTCAATGTACGCAGAGCCTCCCAGTGGGCGGAGTTCTGCAGAGCAGTGCCATTGATCGACAGCACCTGAGCACCCTCGAATATAGAGCCTTCCTGTGCGGCTACACCACCTGCTATTACTCTGTGGACCTAAGAGACGAGATTTGAGTGAAACTCGCCGTTTAGGTTAAAGTCAAATAGCAATGACTTCCAAAAAGTCAAAAACATACAGGCATTGTGGTGTACTTAAAGCTACACAATCAGGGACATTTTGCACTTATTTTCATGCATTTGCTACTTTTTGTATAGACTTTTGTTTGATCACCTGGATTTGTTTCTATTAGTCATCATTATAGCATTCGTTGATACTCACTGTGACTGGTTTATTCTGATCCACTCCACCTGCCAAGGTAAATCCTAAGCCACTCCCCACCTCCTTGTGTAATACAACAACTTGCACATCTTCATATTTCTGTCATAAGTCAGAGGTACAAGTTATAATAGCAAAAGGAAATAGTTTTTTTTCTAAAAATTCCTTTGCATGCATATATCTATAATTGTCTGTATATTTATTTTGTAACAAAATTTACGTCATGACAGTTTAAGTGTATTTCATTGTCAAATTATAGCTTTTATACATTAAAAAAGTACATGTACATAACTTGTTTTACCTGTAGGGTGTCATCTCCCAAGCCCCTGACATCATCCAGTAAACGATCAAGTTCATCAGTGCTCAGCAGAGTCACAGAAGAGAAGGCAGAGATGTCTGAGCTCAAGGATGCAGAGCGTGTGGATGGCAAATCTTCATCATCCTCTGATGGTTTATAGTCCACCCCACCATAATTACACAGTTCTACAAGACTAATAGGTAAATATGTAGAAAGAAAGTAGGGGCTTATGTACAGTGGAGATATAAATTAAAGAAAAAGAAATGTAGGGTGTTTAAACTGGGTAACCTGCTGATTTGTGCATGTAAACTAAGCTGACACTCCATTTGAGTCTAATCAGTTGTGTCACTTTTCTATTTTTACATATCAGTTACCTTAAACAGAAACTTCTGCGTTCTGATTGGCTCATGTTGCTTGTGATAGTCACAGATGACTCTCCTGAGTCAGAGTCTTCTTCAGTGTCTGTTTCCTCATCATCGTCTTCTTCATCAGAGCTCCACCTAGCCATGCTAGTAGTGATTGTGGTCAAATCCTTCCTTGTTTCATTGTTGTTGTTGTTAGAATTATTGAGTGAGGAATATATTGTCTGGATAGGAGGAGAAGTTTGAAAATGATTGGGCAGCACTTTGGGATGGGTACCATTGACTGTTACGGCTCCAGGGCTACTCTGCTTTTGAAAGTTAACTGTGAGAGGTGCTCTGTCAGGTGAGTTAGTTGGTGTGTTTTCATCGTCATTATCATCAACTATTTTTACATTAATTGACTTCTGCTTTAATAAACTTTTGACATTTGACTGTTGAGAGATTGATGGGATTCTTGCTTTTTCTTCCATTGTCCCTATGTCACTGAGAACTGAGTGGGCAATGATAGTAGAATCTGGTTCATCCGTGTGTTTTTTATTCACATTCCTCTTTTCATCTTCATCCCTCATGCTGATACCTTGATCAGTTCTTGATTCATTAATTTGTTTTAATGTTGGAGCAAGCTCAACACTCATTTTGTGTGTCTCTTGGTGTTGTTCTAATGTTGGTCTTACTTTGACTGTGGAATTTGAATGAGGAGTTCTACCTAGGTCTAGAGAGCATTCAGCCTCCTCATTAGAATTGCTTTTGCTAAAGAAATGTGTTCTTATGCTTTCTGTGTCCCCTACAAAATTTCCAAAATGTAGATTTTTGTCTGAATCACTCTTCTTCACTAGAGCTGCAGGCTTGGGATGCTCTGGTACAGATAAGGCCCTCCTGGTGCGAAGAATCTCTGGTGTGCTTTTGCTTTGTTGAGCCAAAGATTCAAACATGCTGATTGTATTCTTCACAGAATCCGAGGATGGTAAACGTGACTTTTCTAGTACACTTTCTCCTCTCCTTCCTTTAGTTTTACCTGTGAATACATCATCTTTCTCTTCCTCTTTATGGATTTCATTGTGTGCTGCTCCTTTTGAGGCTAATGGGTGTTTAGGTTGGGTGATTCCATCTGGCAAACCACCAAGATACTTGTTTTCATTTATGTCCAGCCTTTTTGTAATCTCTTTATCTGATTGTTTGTCATTGCCAGTTTCCTCCTTGATTCCTCCAGAAGTGGTTAACAGGTGTTCGACACCCTGGCTGGAGATGCTTGAACTGTCAGGCCGGTTCCTGTGAGCATTGTATTGAGCAGTTGCTGGCAGTCTACTTCTGGTCCTTTCTAAGGACTGACTACAATACTTTGAAGACCCTGTAAACAATGTTCTGCTTGTCTCTTCATTGTCATCAGGCAGAAGAGTTTTTTTGACAGAAGACATTTCTGTACTCCATTTAGGCTTTGATGACACTGAAAAACTTAATCCAGAGGAATTGTCTCTTTGATCATTTCTGTTCTCCCTGTTGGTAGAGGGTTTTTGCTTCAGATCAAAGTATGTTTTTGAAAACCCTCTAGGGAATGTCTCAGCCTTTTCTGTATCGTAAGAAGGTTTCCCCTGTTGGCTGTCAGTATAATCTAAAGAAGTTCCAAACACATAGTCAGTAGTGTATTTTCTGTGACTTGGAGTAGAGTCCACCGTGTCCATAGATTTGGGAAATGATTGATCAGAACTTTCAGTATTGCTGCGTTTTAATCTGGTTGAATCCTTTGAGTGTGGGTCAGAGTTGGCATCCGCCCCAAACAGTTTTGCAATTCTTTCTATTATTGTTTGATTTCCAGTTATTTCCTCGGCATTGGAAGATCCTTGCTCTCTGGCCCAGGATCCCTTCCTATTGTCAGTCTGATCAAGACTTGATTCACCTTGCCAGAGACTGCTATCTTCTCCAATAGAACCTTGGCTAAGTCTTGGCTTCAATCTGGATGGGAGTGACTGGCCACTGTTTGCCCGTTCCAGAGCAAAATTTACCCGGTTCATTCTCACAGATGTAGATCCAGA